ATTACACCAATAGCCGTTACAATGTGTGAGATGGGGACATTCCCTTCCTAAAGGGACTTTCCCTTAAAGACTTAATAAGTAGTTCTAGACTTGTCACCAAACGCCCTTACAATGTTTGAAAGGGGGACATCTCCCTTGTGGGTACAAAAGACTTGATCTCTTATGAAATTCTACCTTGTTATAACCTTATACAAGGTTAGCTCATGACACATAATATAGCCTCGGTGGGGCAAAAATACCACTAGAGTAAAGTGTTGGAGTACCTAAATAGCATTGCCTCGGTGGAGCAAAAATACCACTAGACTAAGGGTCGAAGTACCCTATATGCATTAGGCTCGATGAGGCCGAAAATACCATTAAAGAAAGCTATGTATGCATTCTATTATGCTATTGCCATTGCTTTATGTATTGCTTATGTATGTTTTGATAAGTAAGACCCAAATGCATCATGGATTTACATAGGAAAACGTGCATGATTTAAACCAAATGTGCATTGATTTGAAATATATTCCTTTTTATTGCTTGTTCCCTTCTATATCCTTCACTGAGTGATTGTACTCACCATTTCAAATTCATGTTTTGTAGATCCAAGGCCACTTAAGTCATAGACATGCGAGGGATTTGCATGCCTATTTAGGTTGGTTCAATGACCATGACATTCGATAGTATTTTTAGCACCTAAGTCACTTTGCTGGTAGCCAATAGTCGGTAAATGGTTTTGATTAGGTGCTGGTCATTTGACCTTGTTTATATGTATATGTATACTTGGATTGTGAGCTAGTTGTAAATGCCTAGTATGAGACAAGATAGCCACAAAATGGTAGACTTAGAAATTATTTATGTAATGCCGATTATAAGTAATGGTAAATTTTTTTGCATAAAACTGTGCCTTATGTATAAGAGCGAAATTTTATGTTACAAATTATGACTTATGAAATGTTGTGGGAGTATTTAAGGTTTCAAATGAAGAGCTAAGTGATAATAGTAATGTATAAGGCTTATGTGGGCTTGGTGGATTGCTTCCATCAAGTCTTCGTGTTGGTCACAACCTAGGACAGGTTCATGACAGGCTTGATATCAAAGCCCTAAGTTAAAGAGTTTTAGGGGAGTCCAAAGTCCTACAGAGGTTTGTGTTCCGTGGTGCAACTATAAACAAGAGGCTACATAGGATTTCATGTTTAAATAGAAACCATCCCTTATGATTACATGCAGATAATGATTGGTGTTACTCTTTTCTAAGTAACAATGCCACCTAGACAATTGTTTCAAATATTTTTTTTCTTTTTTATAATTAGAAGAAAGGAGATTCAAATCGTACTTTTTATTTTTAGATAGAGGGATAACGCACCAATCAATGAGTTAAATATTTAGGTGAAGATAATTATTTCAAATACAAAATACTTAATTAATATAAAAGTATAAAACTTTAAAAACACAAATAGTGAACAATATATATATGCATATGCACATCCATATATATATATATATATATGCATATGTACATCCATATATATATATATATATATATACACATATGCTTTTCATATTCTATTAAATTAATTCCTTAATTGATGCAAGTTATTCTCGTTGTTAATCTTCCAAGGACCTGTTAAAAAAAATATACAAAACAAGTAAGCAAAGACTGCATTGAGAAACCAAAATCAGTAGCAAACCATAAATTCCAGCATTGTAATCTTAATTATCACTTCTCAAAAATAGAGGTTCAAGAATTGAAGGTTCTGGAAAAGGATAATGATACCTGGCCTTTGGCATCAATGACTCTCCATCATAGACCTTTCAGAGTAATTCGCCTCAGACCAACAAGGTCTTTCTGCATGAGTTCAAAACGACAATTACAACAAAAAAAGGAGCAAGTTTTGTTTTTGAGCAGTAATTATATTGCACTCCAATCGGTAATCCTTATCTATATTTAGGGGGAACTCCTTCCCCCCTTAACCGACCGAAAAACAGATGGGGTTTTTTTTTTGCTTAACGACAAAATTACCTTTACCCTTTTTCTGCCAAATTCCTCCCCCCCAGCGAGTCTGGGACCTAATTTCCCCCCCCCCCCCTTTCCTTCCTTGCTTTCTGCCTCTCCCTTGACTCCCTCTCTTCTAACCATTTTAGCTGCCCATGGATCTTTAACCATTTTAGCCCATGGATCACAACCTAAGTCAACCCATTTTAGCCCAAGTCAACCAAGTCAACCCATGGATCTCACCCTCAAAAACCGATCGAACCGACCGAATCGAGCCTTTAAAAAATCGATCGAAACTGACATTACATCTTATGCGATTCGGTCGGTTATATTGTAAAAATTTTTGAACGGTTTTTACCAAAAACCAAACCGAAACCGATAAAACCGATTGTCGCACACCCCTATCTATACTTATCTTAGAAGGATCACTCGCATATGCACTCAGTTATTAAATTAGGCTATTGGGTTAGACTTGGGCTATTACTGAGCCCAATTCTAAATAAATGCAATAGCCCAATAAATAAAAAGTGCCCAATTTCTAGAAGATTCTAGTTGAAAATTCTTTGAAATTCTTTCCTTTTGAGGTTTGCAATAGTATATATATATATATATATATATATATATATATTAGGCCCTTATTGTAATGGTCATCTTGCGAAGACAAAGAAAAAGACGTTTTAATTGTAAATCTTGTCTTTTCTATTCAATTTTTTGTAATGGTTATCTTCCCAAGTCAAAGAAAAAGACGTTTTACTCGTAAATCTTGTCTTTTCTATTCAATATAAAGTATTTACAGATATATATATATATATAAAGTTTTTTATATTATTATTTTTATTTAATTGGAGTAGGAAGAATTTGATTAGGCAAGAGGATAATACACCAACTAATAAGTCAAATGCTCAAGTACAGATTTATATAAAGTTTGTTCAAATTAAAATTAATGATTAACATATTTTAAATTAAACATGTTAAATTTCATAATTTAATGTTATTTTTCAATATAAATACTTTTTACAAAACTTGATAGATAGGCAGTTAATTTGTATTTAGTGAAAATTTTGAAGTGGTTGTACCGTAGCTGATATCAACTTCCATCTTCACCAAAAATTGAGATGTTTAGTTTAGGCATAATGCTTTACAAAATCCCTAAAGTATTTAAGAAAACTTAAACATATTTTTTTATTATTATTTTTAATTAATTTTTTATGTTAAATTTAATAAACTTTTTATAACTAATGACTAATTAATTATTATTAGTTAAAACACCCTTTATCATTTTAATATCACGTGATTTTGATGTGACGTAACGTAAAAAATAAAAATATTACGTTACTATGTCATTTTGTCATGTAACCATTGATTATAATATATCAACATGCTATATCAGCACCATGTAATATAAAATAATAAATAATAATTTGAACGACAATTAATTAATCGTTAGTTATAAAAACTTATTTGATTTGATTGAATATAATAAAAAATTAAAAGCTTATTTAAATTTTCCTATACAAATCAAGAGCATTTTTAGATATTATACTTTTAGTTTAACAGCGAAACAATATCTTCTCTTAATAATTAATAATATAGCCTAGCCATGAACCATTAAAGAAAAAAACCCTACTATGAGATTTAGACATATGAAAATACTCAAAATAACAACCAAATAATATTACAAGGTGTAGCCTTGTGAACATGCTATTGGACAACTGATAATGCTTTGGTAAAGTGATCATGGATATTCCCAATGTTTCTCTACAAACACAGACGCCCCCTTGTTGCTCCTTTCTTGTATACAAACTGTAAAGCATATGCCAAATGACTGATTGGCAACGGGCAAACTATCCATAACGTAAGATTTAATTAGGATCAACCTGCAAGAATGATCTCAGACATTTTGTTTTTGATCAGCTTCATTTTTCTTCGGAGAATGCCTGCTGCAGACCACCCCCTTCATTAGAAACATTTCTGCCTGTTTCTTGGATAAACTAGTTTTTGCATAGAGAAACAGAAGCAAATGGGCAAAACGGTTTAAATTGTTATTACTTACCCCTGAGCCTTCATCCAACAGGAGAGCTGATAAAGCTGCACAGTTTCATTCGAGGCATGACATGCAAGAAGGAGGTTGCGTGGCTGTACCATCCATGCAAACCTCATGTATAACAAGAATAAACGCACATAGCTGCAAAAAAACCAAGCAGATTTTCTACAACTGTAACCCCTGCTAGCATGAAGAATAAAAGAAATGATAAAAAAAAATGTCTATAGAGATTAGACGTGGAAATTAACCTGCAGTCATGTTCCCATATATCGTTTTTGGTGGTTTCTTTGTGTCTAAAAGGGCCTGTAAACAAACAAAACCAGAATAGAAATGTCATCAAAAAACACTGAATTATGCTTAAATCGCCGACAAGACAACGACATGGATTCGGTTTCAGTAAGCATACAGCAGTAGGAATGCCCCAGTTGGTGACAGGGCCCCAAAAGTGACTTGTTTTTGGGACCAATGCGGCTGTTCCAAAAACCTCGTAAGAGGTTCATTCCAGCTTCTGCAAATTGCGAAACACTAAAAACTGTTGAAAATAGTATGTCTTTTTTGTGTTTGTGTGTAAAGAGTAGAGCAAGTCTTACCAAGATATAATGAGCTCTAAGTTAGTTGGAAATTAAAACAAAATCCGATTGCCTTCTGAATTATAAAGACACCGGCAGCATTTTATGTGAAAGACATCTGAGAGCAAGAGACAACTCCATAGAATGTGAAGTATCATGGAAACTCACAAGCTTCAAGAGATTCAAACTCTTATAAAGTCAAAGATGAATTGTCCGAGAAGCCTTCACATACTACATTTTATTTATTCTCAAGTCATTCTATTTTATGTATTTAATTACAAGAATCTTAGTCGACATTCAATCAAACAATTTGCTCATTTCTTATTCAATGTAACCAATACATTGGTCAGAGCATCTTATGCTTTCCAGGGTGGTCAAAGTCAGTATTGTTGAATAAAACGACATGAAGTCATCAAAAAAATGGCCTACACAGAGATTTCTGATTAAGTTAATCAAATCACTAAGATAAGCTCTCAAAGTTGGACCCTATCTAAAAAAGAAAAAAAGAAAAAGTAGTTACATCCTCTTTTCCTTGTACTCTTCTAACGAGAACATGTATGATTCCTATATCAGCTAAAATTGATAACATTTACAAGACTAGTCAATTTACAGAGGGACTACCACTACAACTCATTTAACATGGGTTAGGATCAAAAGACTAATTCTACTTCATGCAATTAACAAATAGGTCCTCCAGCAGTTCTACTTCCCATCAGTTCAGCAAGTTTCGTCCCACTGAGGAGCTTGCAGGACAAGAATGTCGTCGAAAGCAGTGTCTTGCTTCACATCCACAAGTCCTTTAGTTTTCAACACCTGCAAAATTGATATATTTACACCATTGTTAATTATCACATCAAATAATCCAATTTAGCTGTCAGTAACAACAGCTTGTGCATGCTCAACAAAATTTTAAGTTTGAAGATAACAAATTTATAGTGTGTGACATGGTTTGAACCAGGGACTGGTCCAAGTTGGGTAGACCTCATCTTGAGAAGCCCTACTTGAATGGCATTAACCAATTGAGTCAGTGAACCGGGCTTGAGTGAAATTATTACTACTGTGAACAATTGATTCTCAAGGTAAGTCACTGGATGCAACATACCAGTATCTCATAAAAGAGCCTCACGCTTTCTTTCTTTGTTCTTCCTTCCAAAAGCTGTGATAACTTCACTGTTTCCTCCTCTCCTCTTTTCCTTTGAGCTAGAAACCTTCTCTGCAAATATTTTGCCACCATTCTGTGCAACAAGGATTTAACTAATTGGAAGGAAGTTTTGCAAGCAAGCATAAGGGATTGACTTTAACTATTTAAGTCAAAATAGTATGGTAAAGGCTGTATTTATCTTACCTGGTTCTCAATGACCATCCATCTGCAAATGACAAAATTCAGTTAAGAACACCCCACATGTAACAACAATGTGCAATCTAAAATGAATCCACTGACCAAATCAAAGTTTAAACAAAAGAACAATTCGAATAGCTCTTACTCTGCTCCTGGTTATCATCTTCATTTGAATGTATCTCCTGACCAAAATATTAATCAAATAAATGACTAATAGAAGATGCTTTAAATAGGGAGGACAACAATCAACTAACATGTGAATTGATACATTTTCATTAGCAGGTAGAAGCTTCTAAACCATCCAGCACTGTGAGACACCAATCATCGTCTCAAATACTATTTTGGTTTCGGTTTAAAGTCCAACCTTATCATGCTTAGATGATTTAAAATCTAATTTGAAAGAAGTTGCATGTCAAATATAGCAAAATAAGTTGATGCAATGCGTGGTTCAGTTTGTAAACTAATTCCTATGCTTTGTAACTTTCATCAATATACAAGGCAGCCCTGCCAGATAATTATTCTCTATCACATTAAGGCAGCTATCAGTAATATCATTTCTCCTTGCTCACCAGATTGAGATCAAGAACTTCATTGTTGCTCAGGGAAGGCTCCTTTTCTACAATTTCAATCAGAGAAGATTCTTTCTCCATACTTTCAGTAGGATCCAAATTTGCATGTCCTACTTCATCTAAGTTAACACATTTGAGGTACTCAGGGCTCTCAAATGGTCTCACTGATTTTGAGTGTGGTACAGGTGTTTGTGGAGCAATTTCTGTTTGTTCTCCCCCAACAAGGGGAGGTGAGTGCTGACGAGGTGTTTGAGGAGCAATTCCTGTCTGCTCTGAGGATCCATCAAAAAGAGGAGATTTTGAGAGGTTTAACATAGCTGGAGGATCCCTGATTTCAACAGTCTCTGGAGCAATTTCTGCTTGGTCAAAGGATCCACCAATAGGAGGAGCTTCTGATACGTCTATTTTTTCTGGAGATTTCATGATTTTAACAGATTCAAGAAGTCTCAAACTCTTTCCATAGTAGAGAGATTTAAGCTCCGAGGTGCCTGCCAAGAATATGATTAGCGATAAGGGCATAAGTAGAAAAAGACCACATAGAACTATGATACTGGAATTACAAGGAACCGAAGCCTCTGAGAAACTCTGGGAAAGATTGAAAACCCGATGGGTGTTCCTTGCATCTCGAGCAGTATGTTTTCTCCGCTTAGACACCAAATCACTTGCATCTTTTATCCACTGCCTCATTAAGCTGAAAACATTGTACATGAAATTTAATGAATTATAAAGTTATTAGCTGTTGACTTCAGTTATTTGTACCCCTCACATTTTTTTACCAAGGACCCATATCCTAAGTAAAAAGTAATACTGAATCATTTCCCATAGAAAGGTGCCGCAGCTATTTAATCAATTATGAGAAGACAGCTAGTGCTGGGCATGTTGCAATCCAAAAATAGAACACGCAAACTGAAATTAAATTATCCTAAGCAATAGCTTGATCAACTTATAGTGGACTGCATGAGAAGCAAAGTGAAATGCTGTTAAACTACAAAATGAGCTCTATAGTAAACTGAGGTTTACCATAGAATTCCTGTATGACCTTAATCATGTTGCCGTAGTAGATGCACATCTCATATGAGCAAGCAACACCAATTACAGCATCTACTGATTAAAGATCAAACCTAATATTACCTAATTCAGTACTCAGAGCAATTCTAAGACACATCTTATTTCCAATTACATTATAAAATCTAATTCATGGCTGTTCATAATGCAACAAATACAATTCCTGTTGTCATATGTGACAACCAAGCTCAGCAGTCAGGACCATGCATAAAGCTACACAACAATGTCTGGCCTAGAGTTAAAAATTGATTAACAATCTAAAATTACTGAAAATGAATTCACAAAGGGGTAAAAAATGACGTAACCATAGCTTACTCATTTGGAAAAACTATCATGTCATCAAAGAAACATTTTCTTTTCCTCGAAAACCGAGCACGCTCCTTGGTCACAGGCGTTCGGATAGGCATAAAATGCGGTGTAGTAGCTCCTGCATTAAATGAGGAATTATGTATTGGACAAATTTTTTAAATATGAAACACAAATTTTATTCAGTTTACACAAAATTTGTAACCTAAAAGGAAGTTCCAATCAAATTCTGCAAAGCATAGAGTGAAAGAAATCTATATTATTTAGACTCTGGAGTGAGTGTTGGACACAGGTATGTGTCTTCGAGGGTATACAATATTTTGCTTAAGTTATTCCTTATACTTGGAGGGCAGACCTCCATACTCATGTCCATCAGATATGTGTTGGACATGGGTACTTCATGGAAAATAAAGAGTCAGAGCAACATAGAAAACAATTGCAGTTGTCAAATCAGAAAAACAAGAATCATGTTAACTATCAAATCATCAAACAAAAATTTGAAAGGACAAATTCTCAAGAGGCTAGAAAAGATATTATCTTAATGATTTCTTATACCTGAAGCACCTTGCAGCTTGGACTGAGGAGTTGTGCACAATCTAACTAACAGAGAATGGTCCTTTGCAGCAACCTGACACTTTCCATCCGCTGAAGTTGTCATTGCTGGAACATTATCCAGCTCTGCACCAGTTTGAACCTCTTCAGCAAGTGGTCTTACAACTGGGGCAGGTTCCTCGATGTCCATATGAGAGAAAGCCTGAAGCTTCCCTAGACTTGCTTCCATGCAATCTGCTTCCATAACCTGGTGCACTTCATTTTCTGATTGCACCATATCCGGACACTTCATCTTCTCTCTGTTAGTTTTTTCTTCACCAAAAGTTTTGACAAGACCTGGAGGTTCCCCCCTGCTTGCTTCTGTTCCTATATAGTTTTCTGAGTCTGCAATGTTTGTAACTTCTACACATGATTCCAAAATGCTTACATGATTTTCCTCCATAACCTGGTGTACTTCATTTTCCGATTGTGGCAGATCTGGACCCTTTGTCTTTTCTCCATCAGCTTGATCTTCAGCAAGTGGTTTAAAAGGGCTTGGACATTCCTCAACAGCCTCAATATGAAGGTTCACCCCTTCTTCTGAAAAGAACCTATCATTGCATTTCTCCCTGCTTGCTTCTCTTTCCATATGGTTTTCTGAACCTGCTATGTCTGGAACATCTGTGCGTGCTTCCAAGATGCTTCCATGGTCTTCCTGGTGCATTTCATTGTCTGATTTTGATAAATCTGGATCCTTCATCTTTTCTCTTTTAGTCTGATCTTCAGCAAGTGGCTTAAGTGGACCTAGAGGATCCTCCTCCGCCTCACTATGAAGATTCATAAATTCTTCTGACAAGAATCCATCATTGTATTTCTCCCTGCTTGTTTTCAAGGTCATATTGTTCTCCAAAACTGCCATGTCAGGAACCTCTACATGCTCTCTGTCACTTTGATCAAAAACTTTAACAAGGTTTGGAGGGTCTTCCTCAACCCCACTAACTGTTTGGAGATGTGCAACCTCTCCATCATATCGAAGCTTTTCCATACTTAGTTCCAAGTCACATGCTCCATGTGATGTTCTTGATTCCATCTTGAAGTTCATCAGGCGAAATGAAAAACTGCCGCAAAAAGAATATGATTGAAAGAGATATTTTCGAAAGTTTGAGCTTCTCTTAAAAGGAATAAAGGAAAGAACATGTGTAAACATAAAGAATTTCTGAGAACCTAACAATTGAGATTTATGAGCTTACTCTTCAATTGGAGTGTCATCCATCAAGAAATCATCATCCAAGGCTTCAAACTGCTCAGACTGAAAGAGTCAATTTGTGCAAATCAGGATATTTAGACTAAGTTCCAAAACCAACATAAAAATCTTAGGACAGAAACCACTACTAATAATTCTGACAATCTTTAAAAACTATCTATATTGTATATATAGGTCACATATGGTCCAGAAAAAATTCTTCCATAGTGAAAAATTGCCCCTCACAGCCTTAAAGCACGGAAAATTGACCTCAAGATCAATATAATCCAAGTTTTCATCTATACTTCCTTTAGTGCAATAACAACATTGAAACATAGCTGAATGAATTTTTAACAAAATTATTAAAAAAAAAAAAACCTATAAGTTTTCAGTTAATATCTCCAAACATTATTTCCCTTTATTATGCAACTAAACTACAGTTAATAAATCCTGCGGTAGAAAGGATACACCATAAACAATTCCAACTAGTTGGGATAATAGTCTAAATATTAATCCTGGGAGTTGCTTTTGATCCTTGATTTTCATCACAGCCAAAAACTGAAAGCAAACTATATGCATGCTTGTTTGAGGAGAAAATTGGCACAAACTATACTTTCAATAACAAATAACTTATTGGACTAACAGTCTAATATATTGGCATGAATCACAAAAAACAGAAGGATCTTATGACAAAAAAAAAAGAGAATAAAGATATGGGCGGCAACAAGTTCAACCGACAAGACTGATAAAAGCTAAACTCAGTATAATTTGATGAAATTACCATTTACATAATATGACCGGATGATACATACCCTGTCTAGAGAATATTGCCATATTCCAGCATTTTTCCAAGCTACATCTGTTTCATCAATGTTGAATTAATAAACAAAGCATGAAAAAAAAAAGTGAAGCAATATCGATACCTTTAAGAGTTATGTCTGCGTGAGGCACCGCATTGTCTCTGGAAAGAGGAAACCATGATATTGAACATGATTAAAAGAATTTAAAAAAAAAAATGAAGTTTGTAATTAAACTAGATTACTAGATTAGCTTACCCACTAGTTTCTTCAAGAATCTCCAGATCAAAAGCATCTAAGTCAAAGCTCACGGGTCGAGTAATAGAGAAACATCTTGCACGGAGTGCCTCCATCTTTGCTCTATTTTTTTCTCTAACCACAAATTCATTTATCTTAATCAGCACCTCTTGGCAGTCATCAAAAAGATATTCAACCTTTTTGGAGTATATTCTGACAACACCAAGAAGGAGGTAGGCCAATACTCTATATGTGAGAATATCAAGCTGGTCTTGCAAAATATTATCTGGAAGACACAAAAACATGAATAAAATGAGGAAAAACATATAAAATGCATATGAAAGGATGGGCATTCAGAAAATTGTAAAACTTCAAAATGCCCAAATTACCTAATTTATACTAACAACATATAATATCCACTACCACTAGCTTGTTTTTCTTTCAACTTGAAGCGCAATTCCTTGACTTATAGACAGGCTTGAAAATTTTTAATATATATATATGTATGTATATATGTATGTATGTATGTATGTAAATGTATATAGATGGGATTGAAATGAAGCATCAAGAAACTAGGTCACCGTAATATGCACTTTCAAACAAGAAACAGAATAGTAAAGGAAAACGAAATACGCAAAACCCATACAAGAGTTTAAGGTTATCCTATGCATTGTGGGCGCCATCCACATGGTAGGAAGAAAAAAACAAAAACAAAAACACACTTTACAGAAATTTATCATACAATTGCCATCCACCACCTAAAATACTTTCCTTCTTTCACAATTCATTTGTACTTTATCTTCTCAATACGAAGAACAGCACCGTGGAAACAAACGAAAAGGACAACAAAAAAACAATTATCAACCTTCCATTTACTTCATACATAACCAAGAAAAATATGAGAAAACTGAAACAGAAACAGAAACAGAAGAAACTATTATGGCCCTGAGAGAAATGACCTTGTTAAAGTCTCATTTTTGACACAAAAGAAGCATAGATAAAAAGAAAAGAACAATGGGTATTTGAAAAGGAGAAGAAAAAGGGAGACTAACCAACAGAAGTGGAGATATTAGTCTCAAAAATTTGAGCTTTCTTGAGCTTTTTGAAGAAATAAGCAGCTACCCATGTGGCCCCTAAAGGTCCTTTCTTTGAAACAAGGCAGTTTGAAAAAAACATGGCTTTTTTCTCTCTCTCTTTCTCTTATCTTCTCTGTTATGGGTTTTGATTTGTGTAAACATAATACAGATATTTGGAACCTTTGAGGACTCTGCAGCAGAAGAAGAGAGCAAAGCGAAGGTTACTTGAGAAGAAAACGGTCGAGCTGTGCGCCTTGCAAGCTTCTCAATTAGAACCTCCTTCTTCTTCTTCTTTTTTTTTTTTAATTTTTCCATTAGGAGTTTTAATTTAAGGGGGAAAATTGTGACACGGATTCTTGGGTTTTTATTTTATTTTTCATTTATTAAGGTTTTAGTGATGTTTTTGTGTGTGAGTGAACGTTAAATGACAGTAATGGCCTTGCCTTATCCGACCCTTCTCCTGGACTAAAACAGAGTATGTTTTTGGTAAACTGTTTGACTTAACGGCTAAAGCTACATGTGTAGTGAAAATATTTTTTGAAGAGTAAGGTATCAATTTTGAAAATTAATAAATTTTTATATAATTTTAATCAAAATTTAAATAGATAAAAGTATTTTATCTCCTTTTTTTTCATATTCATCAATAAATTTAACATCTAAAATTTTAATTATTTATATTTCAAACTATGTATATTTAAAAACATTTATTAGTATAATATATAATTATTATTTAAAAATAAATAAATAAAATAAAATAAAATATAAGGTGAAAACAAATATTAATATCTGAACAAATTTGAACTTAATCACCATTCTCAAAGTCATCTCATTCTTTGATGTACCATCTTCTTTATTGTTTTTCTCTTTTTCATTAATGGCGATAAACCTTTGAAAATTTAGTAAGAATTGGAGATTTACAAGTGTTGTGCTGTGAGAAGGGAGATGACTAACCAGGCAGCAACCTTTGGTTAATATTATCGCGAAGGGTGAATTTGTAAAAGCACAACAATTAAAGACAGAAATAGTTAAAACAAAAAAGAATTCCATCTTGGACTTGGGAGTTGTTTTGTGTGTACAGTCACCGACACAACAGTGTAGAGTTTCTTGTTTTCATGTTTATCTAGATAAAAACATTTGTTTTTGACACGCGTAACCAATCCAAGGAATGTGCCGCTCTTCCTTTTATTTATTTATTTATTTTGTATGATGGGAATAGCCATTCTTTGAGATTTAACCATTCCCCTCCCCTCCCTCCCCTCATTAGTAACCATTCCAAGGCCGGTGGAATAGGGGAAAAATATCATTGGATGAAAATGCCTTATTTAATTGAACTAATTACAACCCTAGCACTATATTTTCTTTCTTTTTCTTTTCTTTTTCTTCCTTCTTGATGTTTAATAAAAATAAAATTAAAAGATTAAACAATGAAAATGAAAAAAATACAAATAGAGAAAAATAAAAAATTATACAACTAATTTAATATAAATTATTTAATAATTTAATAACAAATTATTGATGTTTAATAAAAATAAAATTAAAAGATTAAACAATGAAAATAAAAAATACAAATCGAGAAAAATATTCAAATAATTAAAATTAAAAATTATATAATTAATTTGAAAATAAATTATTCAATAATTTAATAATAAATTAAAATATTATTAATTTCTATTAATAATTTAATAAATTATTGATGTTTAATGAAAATAGAATTGATTTTTATTTCTGATGAAAATAAATTTTATCGTTTATTATTTGATTATTCCAAAATTATTGCTACTAACCAAATATTAGAATAAGTCATGATAACAATTCCTATCATATTTTATTAGATGAATCAAACTACATAATAATAATTTTATTTTATTCCTTCTTAATTCTATTCTATTCTTTCTTTATTCTATTATCACATAATAACTATTCTATTCCATTTCACGAACCAAATGTACCATAAGATTGTCGACAACGTAAACATGACACAAAAATTTAAGTTTATATTTGATATATTGATACTGTGTAATTTTTATAGACTGTCAGATCATAAAATGATATTACTTTATTATAAGAGTTTATATTTTTTTTTAGAGAATAGGAGATCATGTACTAATTAATAAATCAAATGCTGAATTGTTATAAGAGTTTTTATTTGATGTAGTGATAATATGTCAAGCAATCAGTTAATATGTTAAAAAAATAAATTTAAAATTTTGAGAAATTTAAAATAAAAATTACTAACATTTTTTAAAAAAATAAAAAAATAAAAAAAAATTATCTCTTTTGGACTCTCTCTTACCCAATCTCCACTTCTTCCTTCAACAACAAAAATCCAAAAGCATAAATTCTTAATTTAGATTCATAAAAATAAATTTTATTTAACTTTTCTTCTTGATTTAGTTCTTAATATTTATTTGGTCTGCTAAGGGATGGGTTTGTACATTGAGGGGACTGAGCTTTCTTGTTAATACTATTTGAGTTTTTGCCTTGGCGGGTCATAGAGTGATGAGAGGTGTATCTTTTTGAGGCATTTGAATGAATTGGATTGAATTTGAAGGAGGCACGTTGAGGAAAGTCTTCTGCACGGTGCTAATGTCATCGGGGTTTTCTCTTGACCTGTGTGGCCTAGCCTTTGCCTTACTCAAGGGCTCTTAGAAAGGCTAGTAGCTTTCTCAGTTAGAATAAGTTAGGATCGTTTATGGCAACACAAGCAAGAAGAGAGAGAGCTTTTATTTCATAGAATTCAAGTACATAAGTCATTAGCCTCAAATGAGGGGGCTCAAGGGGTATTTATAAGCCTTAGACCCCTTGGAGCCATTACAAGGCCATTCCTAACAGCTAAGGGCTGTTTTGAGCCATGTTGGACCCTCTTGATGTGCCCTAGCCATTATTCCCAATGGTAGGCAACAGCTGCCCTGCAAGCCTCAAACTGAGCAATGGTTCCCGTGCATTAGACAAACTGCCTGGGCAGCCTACGTGCCCTAGGTTTGCACCAGTCTGCTTGTTTCAATATGCACCTTTTTCTTGTTGGCCCGCGTGCCCAATTTGCTCCCCGGTGCTGATGCCTTCGAGCCACAATGCTGTCTTGGCACTAAATCGGAGTTCCAACCCATGTTGCTCGCCCATCCTCGAGTTAGCTTGCCTACTCTCGAGCCTCAATCCCTTGCCATCGAGCTGGCTCGCCCCTCACCACAAAATAGGTGTGACACTAAGACTTACCCAAGCATCTTGTTTCTTTCCGTACTAATGAAAGAAAATTAACTTTAAAAAAAAAACTATACTTTTCTTTTTAATTTCTTTTAACAACAATGTTGTCTCCATACTAAAGGGAACCAAGCTTTTACCTCAAGTCTTGATATCATTAGGATATACTTCTATTGTGTCCTTGTCACAATCATTTTTGCAATAACAGTAGTGAGAACCATGTAAAATCCAACAATAACAACACATGTTTTCTGTAATACACAGCTTAGCCACACAAAATAATTAAACCCATACTATTAATGTCAAGTCTAGACTCAACTCTCAAAAGTGTTTTGAAAGCCTTTTTTGGTAATTAGATTAAGAGTGGTAAATAAACAACCATAAATATTAAAAAAAAGAAAATGAGTAAACTAAAATGAATACCATTTTTAAGAATCAAAGTAAAAAATTTAAGGTTTTGGACTTAAGAGAACAAGAACAAAAGAAGAAGAAGAGGAGATTGGGTGAGAGGGAGTTAAGGATAAGAATTTTATTTTTATTTTTAAAACAAATAATAATATTTACTTTTAAGTCTCTTAATATTTTTTAAATTTATTTGTTAATGAGTTGTCACTATGTAATGGTTTGACTGTGTATAAAAACTATACATTGTCTCTATATCAAATATAAATCCTTACTATAAAAGTAAATTTAAAATTTTTGAAGACTTAATTAAATATTAATATTAAAAAAATACATAAAAGATAAAAATATTTTTTCTCTCTCCAACTCCCTCTCAACGATTCTTTTTTTTCTTCACCTTTTTTTTAATCAATCAAATTCCCTTTCACCTAATTTCCTCTTCTTCTTCTGTTAAGAACATGTTTGTTAAAATTATGTAACTTCAATTATAACATTTAATTCAAGTCATAATCATTTCTAAAATTATTAATTAAAGTTAAACCAAAAGAAAAGAGTGAAGAACTTCACATGAATGTGCCAAAAGAACTTAATTTTATGAACCCAAAACTCAACATTGCTATTGCAAGAATTGCTAATCCATATGGGCAACCTTAAATTCTTGCAAAATTTATAATCGGACAATTAAAAAATAGAGTTTCATTTTGAAAAGCAATTGAAAAGACCATTGAATTAACTAAGCAAGTACATATAGAAGGAATTCAAATAAAAATTGCAAGGTGTATCGATGAAAAAGAAATCGTGCATGTTGAATGGATCTAAAAGAGTAGGTTCTTCTAGAAAACTGTGAAACTACAACTTTATGCTTAATGATATTATTTTAATTTAAGTGAATGGATTATGCGTTGATATGATTTGGGTGTTGGATGAGTTTTCTTAACTATATGATGGTGAATTTTCCCAAAGAAAGGTACTTTTCCAAGTTAAGGCATGAAGGATAGACCCCCGTGGAGGGAGGGTCGATCCATGGAAGAATCTTTGCTCAAGTTGGCTACTGGATGTCTAGACCTAAACTTAGGGGCCATAACCGGTGTAAAGGGTATCGATGGGAGTTACCTTCTTAACCCATGCAAGCCTAAAATGAACAATTAAATCAAACTTGGGATTATCTCATAGGACTCATCACGATGAAACTGTATATCAAACATACATGAACATATTATAACACATAAGAATATGACAAATTAGTTTGCACACTCACCTGCTCAAAATGCAGAAGCAATACTGATCAAAATAACAAGTATAGGCCATCTTGCTGCAAAAACAAAAGTAGTCATTCTTGGCATATCACAAGTACATGTCATTTAATACAAGATATAAATATAATCCTATTTATAATGGTCAAGCATAAATGACCAAACCAAATAGGACCAGCAGAGTATGACTAGAAACAAAAGGGTTAAAGCCTAATAGATACCATATATTCACCTATCCAAGAATCAACAAAGTATTGGCTCTTCCCAAGGAATAGCGAGCCAAACAGCTATTGATCTGGAAGACAATTGCATTTTACATGTGTGAGTATAAGTAACTTTGTGAGTAGATACGAGAAGGGGGAACAAGTTAAATGGGAGAGTGTTTATCAAAAACACTTTTTAAAATAATGCAAGTAATCCATTCGAATGGATTAAAGTTTGCCTTTCAACAATACAAATATTCAAAAAAATTGGGAATTCACTCTCCAAA